ATAATATTTCTTATATAGCACTATGAATTTCAAAATTTCAAAATATTGCTTGAATAGAGCACTTATAATAAAATTACTGAAAGATGCTTTTGAATAAGTGATTTATTAAATGTAAAGCAATTAACAATGCTAGACTGGCTTTAAATGAATTAAATACTTTGTTTTATTTTCCATATTTTTTATTACCTTAGTCTATATGTCAATAAATTTATTGCACAGAATATCTTTACAATACTCTTCTATGAAAATATTAAACAAAAGTAACTAGTGTTAACATTGCAATAAAATCTGAACGTGAAATTTGACGTCGCATTAATGTGTGCATGGAAAAATATTAATAAACATACATATTTGAATTGAAATTAAATCTAAATATAATATCTAATATTAATGAAAAAATTTTTTGGCAATTGTTTAACATTTAATTATTTCATAACGCTTAAAAATTATGCTCATAATATGGTACTGACGTTAAAAATTGTCAAATTTCAAAATATTTTTGACTGAGACACGAATTATGAAAGGAGTCCTGTAAAAACTTTAGCAATTCGGAGGTGATGAGGTCATATCTAGCCAATTTTTGTCCGATTAAGAAATTAACTTAATTTAAAGAAAAATATTTTGTTACGAAATTATTTATTATTACATGCTGACCATGCATGTATTTCCAATCTAAAGAAGTTTGTAGTGATTTTGTAGTGAAATAATAATATTAATAATAATTTTTTTATTAAAATTTTTTTTTTGTTCCATCTAACTAAATTTTTGGTACTTTAAATAGCTCTGCCGACTTTTACACAAATAAATATGAAACCACGCCTTGCTTTTTGATCCTAAAAGTGTGAGCCAACGAAATTGATTGATCAAAATGCTTTTATTGTTGCCAGTTTCCGAGTTAATAGAATTTTATAGTTTCAAGTTAAGGACCATCAATTGAGTTTTGCGCAAACTTTTCAAAGAGTTGTTTTCATCAGTGGTCAAAACGGTCGAAAATTGCTATCAATTCAATAGCATTTGGTTAACATTTCCACTGTACAAACTTAATTCTCTGAGGTTTTTATTGAACTCAGTACAAAGGGAAATACTCGCTTCAGGTTTAAATTTCAATCAAAGGTGTATATGACTTTTCTTTTCCAAGAATTTTCAACAAATAGCTTGCCTTAAATGAAAATGTTTACATGTTTCTTAATATTTTTTGATCAAATATGATCACATATCTAAAATTTAGTTTTTTTAATAAAAATAAAAATTAATTTGTTTTATACATTTTGACAGATTGGTATACAATGAGAGATACTATACTGAATATTATATAAATATTAATAGCCGTAATTTTTTCTTTCAGAGTAGCAAAAAAATACTTCGTAAGTTACTAAAGAAATTATGTGAAGCAACAATAATGCTCTTAAAATCTTCAGAGTTAGGTTTTACTCGCAAAATATTTTAAGTCTTAAGTTTTAGTGCAGCCAAATTCAAAAATCAGTTTATTGTGTATGTTCAATAGAAATATGTTACCAAATTCTAATCATCCCTTAAAATCAAATATATAAATAAATTAATTAATTTAAACATACGAGTATAAGATCAAAATGCTTACCACTGCCTTTCTAATATTCATTCTGTTTTCTTTTATTTAAATTAATTAACTTTTAGTGTTTACAATTTTTATATATCATATTGTATACAACACAACAAAAAACATACATATGTCAGAAAAAAGCATTTATGATATTTTAAAAGTGATGCCAATTTGTTTCAACCAGACTTAATGTTTTTTTGTTCCAAGTCTGAAATAAAAAATTATGGCTAATATTGAGGAATATATCTTTGCTATACAAAAGAAACATATTTTTATATAAATATATTTTGTTTTTCGTTTATTTCAAGATACTTTTGTCATAGTTTGAATTTTATTTACCATATTACGTTACATATAATTTTTTTTACGAGAACATTCATTAAAAGTAAAATAAATAAATATTAAAGTCTCATGTGTTTAATTTCTACATAAAAAATTTTAAAAAAATAAATTTAGAATAATTTTTATCCCATTAAGTTGTTAAATGGCATAGTTTTTACTTCTTTCGTTTCAGTTTTACTACTTAACCCCAATTGAAACAAAATTATTAAATACAGTCAAACTTCCATAACTCGAACTTCTAAAATTCGAATTTCTCTATGACTCGAATAAAAATATTGTCACGTGCCAATAGGAATATGGGAAAGTGCATTCTATAAGCAGAATTTTTGTTTTAATTATGAATTCATTTTTGTGTTAGGGGAAGTCCCTTTTTCCAATCTAAATGTTTAATTTTTTCTTTCTTATGTTGCTTCTTTGTGTAAATGCCAGTCATTGGCATTTGAATTTTTACAATTTTCTACAATGTCTTGAATAACATTGATGAAGATCGGAAATTGATGGAACAAAATTATAAAGCTTGGTTTGAAGTAAATAAGTTCCAATGCTACTCTTAATGATTATGTTCAGCTTGATAATAAAATTTGTACATCAAGCTTTTCTACAGATTGACCATTACAGCTCTAAATAAGTGGGTTCGATTCGAAGTGTAACGGAAAGTGATGATGAGGGTTTAGTGGATAAAATTGTTCATCAGTCTTCAAAGTATAAAGAAGAAAACTCATTCAAAATTCTGAGTTTTTATTTCCAAACGTATGATACTACAACTGATGATCAGGCTTGTAATAAATTGGAATCTTTTTTTTACTGAAAAAAAGGAAAAAATTAAAATCCTGAACTCTAATTTCTGAATGTTTCACTTAACTATAGTTTCTGTGCTGTATTTAATTGCAAATAAATAAATATCTTAAAATGTGTTTTTGTTTAAAAAAAAAAAAATAAGTCTCGAAGTCTTCATAAGTCGAACCTTTTCTTTGCTTTTCTTTTTTTTGGTACTTCGAGTTATGGAAGTTCGAATGTATTCGTTTTTTGTTTTATTAATAAAGTTTTTGAAATGAAACTATTCCGAAGAAGAGGAAAAATAGCTTGATATTATCAATAGACTCACATAAATTCAAGCTTTATATAAACCATATAATTATTAAACAATAAATATAGTTTAAATATTTAAAAGTTACGATTTATATCATGTTATGCAGACAGTCATGTTCACATCTTTTGTGAAATTGTTGAAGTTTTTAATAAGACTAGAGTAGAAAATATTATTATGGTAAGCTCTCAAATATTTTCCTTCGGTACAATATCTATGTAGAAAACAAGATTTATAATTCTTAAAAAAAAAACAATGAAATTTCAATAATGGCGAACTGACCATAATCGTTCGCAGTTATTAGCGCCTTAATAATACACTTAAAATTTGCTAAATTTTGTTTACTACACTTATATATACAAACCTCTTATAACACGATAATTACTACCTGATTAAGCGTAAATGAATGCTATAATAACAGAAAATAAGTTACTTAATATATCGATAATGAATTATATTTTATAAGCACTTCTCACTGATTGTGTGGTTTTATTGGCGGTTGGTTTATTTGCTTGTATTGGCTTATCAGCATGCCTCACCATACCCTTCGTTCACATAATTTCCGAATATTTGATGTTTTGACATCACAAGAAACCCCTGTAGGTAAAACATATCCATTCGTTGGATTTTGTGTAGTTCAACAGGCATTTAATTCTGATAAACACTCTAACAGAAAATCATTTTTCATAAAGTACTTTTCATAAATTCTATTAGCCTTGTTTTGGGCCACTAGTCTCAGCTAATTATATCTGTCTGAAGCGTATCTATCTATCAGTAACTGCAACGAAATAACCAACCAACTGCTACTTAAGTCATGCAGTCAGTGGTACAGCCTTACAAAATAAATTCTTGATCCATATATATCACTTTAACAAAAAAATCGTTTACTCTTACACAGGCGGTCATAAAGAAAGTACATGATTACGTTTTCTTCATCCAAATATCTGCACCTTCCATAATAAGTATTGAAGTGATGGTGCAGTTGTTTTGCGTTATATTATATAGACCAGTAACCGGAAAGAACTGCAATTAACCTGTCAGCATGCACTCGATCTCTATTAATAAGTTCTCTGGACGTGATCTAATTTTCTGAAAACTAATTCATTCGAGTTGTTTTAGAAGTTGTAAAATATGCCTTTCCCTCAACAATTTGTGATGAAATATATTCTGACACCCACAGAAGCGATAAACCGATCCAAATAATCTTAATTTAGTTTATTTAATTTTTGTATGATTAGAACTTATACGAAATAGATGTTCAAATTTCCTATATCCTTTTTTTTATAGTAGTTTCGTGTTAAGTTATAATATTCGAGTATAGTTGTTGTTGTTGTTGTTAGTGCTGTTGCGCACTTTTACTCTATTGTGGCTGGGGGGGCTTATCCCTACTCCAAACTGAACTTTAGCTATACTAGAAACATTATTATTTATTTTCTAACTGATGACGGACCGTAGATCAGCTTATCTTTCTGTGCGTCCTGAGATGGACTTAAGGTTTGTATAGTATTGAGATGTTAAAAAAATGTATATGTCAGTCATGTTAAAAAATTTATATGATATGTCAGTCAACAAAATTTATATAAGTTCTTGTATGTGATAAGACAAGTACTCATGTATTAATTTATCTATTTAATGTATTAATCATTATTTAATAAGATTTTGCTATTAATCCTTATGATATATACATTTATTAAATTATATTAATTTCAAACACTTAAAATGAGTTTTTAAGGATTTGTTAAATATTCCTTAAAAATCTTTATAATACTTCAAAGGCAGTTATTTCATTTATTCTATTAACCAAGTTCGATTTTTTTGTTCCATTTTCAGATTTTCTTCCACAATAAACAATAAGCAAAGGCTCGATATTAATAAAACAATATTTGAGTAAAATGATGTAATTTAAAATATTATGCAAATATTATAATTCAAATGATGAGCAATGATGATGATGACTTTCTCAACAAATGATGCCATTAAGTATGCAATTAAATTTCTATTGCCATTACCGCTGCAACAATTGTGTCCCCCATTAAGAAGAGTGCGCATTAAAAATAAGAGGTAGAAAATCAAAGCATTTTATCTTAATAGCACAACAGGAAGAAGAACAATAATAGTAGAAAAAATAAACTCAAAGTAATAACAGTAATCCAAGGGCTCCCAGCGCAGAACAATAGTAGATACAAAATGTCCGCGTATACATTGCAGCTGTTCGTCATTCTACTATTCACACAAATAAATTACAATCAAGCATTGCCGCCAGAGGCAGTCAATTCCAACGCTCCAACAGATACGTTTTACATACGACATGGCCGCTCCAAAGTGCGCCACTCCAATGAAAAGGAGCACATATTGCGGACATGGCGCACACAAAACGCGAACATAACACACAATTATGCCGGGAATATCGTCAATGAAAATGAGACAAGTGATAATGGTCGAGCGGATTTCACCAGCAGCATCAGTGTACCAAGTGGTAATGGTCATTTATTCGGTACAGGATATTGGCAGCACTCAGAGTCTAATGATACGATTACCAAACGCCTAACCTTAACTGAACCAAATGCCACATTGAAACCATTCAAAACAGAACCGCACGCCACGGCTACCGTCATGTCAAACACAGTCAGTACAATGGCTCCGGTGACCCATAAAATACGTAAGTTGCATAAAAAAAAAATTATGGAAAGTATACGTAATAGCGTTGATAAGAGCATGGGCATACGATTTTCAAACCACCATCGTAGCTTGGCACAGGCGGAGCAATTGCAAGGCAGACATATTGATTTGAAGGAGGACAAGAGTAATTCACATGAAAGCAACGAGTTGAGTGATGGGTTGCAGTTGGCAGATACATTGAGTTTGTATGATTCATTAAACGATGAGGACATGTACCAAAATGATGAGTATTTTACCACAACGGCAATGGACTTAACTGTGAAAACAGAAAATATTGAAAATGCAGCTGATATTAGTGAAGACTTGTCCCTTTCAACACTGCTACCAGCACTGAATTTGGAATCCGAAATATTAAATGACGATTACAAACAAAATATCGAGCCTGAAACAAGCACAGTTGGCACAATGAAGACCACAACAGATGCACAAAGGGACACAAAACATGCAACAGCGTTTAGTGCAAAATCAATTTTGGCGACACCAATGGAAAATTCAGAAATGAAAAATAAAAACTCAAACCATGCCGGCATAGAAGGAAATAATAAGAGTCTTGCTATACATGTAATAAAAAATAAAAATGAATTCAAAACTGAAATTACGGAAAATGCACAAAAACACAGCAGAAGCAATTTAATTGCCAGAGTAGCACCACGTCCAGACACTCTTGAAATCAAATGGACTGATAGTAAGCCACATTTAGTGTCTGAAAATGGCAGTGAGTTTGGAAGTGTGCCACAAATACCAACATCGGTAGGGGGTTTCAGTTCTGAGCCACCCGCTTTTATAGCACCCACAGAGGCTGACTGGTATGAGAGTCTATCGCTTGGGCCTAGTCAATCAGCTAGCACAAGTGTGGGTGGTGTGGGACTAGATCGTCAGTCAATGGATATGGAAGAAATTAATTTTGATGACGTGGGCTTAAATGTGCCAGAAGATGGTATCATGGACGATGGTCTGTTCGACAACAGCAATGCAAATGGTTTTCCTGTTAGTAGTAGCAATGACAACAATGATGAGTACAGTGATGAAGTTAATCCATTTCTGGCCGGCGCTGTTGATGCAGCTAATGAGGATGAAATATATAATTGGGATGAAATATCGCGAAATAATCGCAGAAATTTAATGCGCGGCCGTGATGTTGTAACGAAATTTCTGCAAATCGTAGAGACGCAACATTCACTCGGTTCAAACTGTGAAGCTGGCACATCTCTGAACTTAGGTGAAGGTGTGGTTGATCGTTACGCACAGGATCGTTTTCGTGTAGAAGCTGAAGTCGCCGTTAATCGAGCCAATATGTTGACAAGGTAAGTGGAAATCTATTCGTGACTTACAGCAAGAAATTTTATACATAAATTTGATGAGTAATTAGTACATATGTTTAAAAAACAATTTGAAATAATTAGTGGTCATCGTATGAACTGGTTAAAAATTATTGTCATGGAACATAATCCTTTGCAGTTATAGTCAGTAAGAGCTATATATCAAATATTATTTACCAAAAAACAAAACTTTTGAAAGTGTGAATTATTACCAATAAAACGACTCAAACTAACTTAATTTCCACTTACAGCTACTCCAAATCTTCTACTGTAACATACAGTCATCCTTGTGATTTTGACTTAAATTTACTCATAAATTTTAAAGCAAAACACAAAAGGAAGGCACGTCTTATCTCATTCACAGCACAAGTCAGACACTCCCAAGCAGTAGAGGAAAGTTTTCACTTACGGACATTCAGCATGCCTTTTTATTGGGAAAAGTTCGATAACTTTTTGCGGTATCTTTTAGTTACAAGTAAACTGTGGTCGAGTGTGACCAAATTGCGTAACCAAACTTTTTGTAATATTTAAAAACTTTTAGATACTTAACCTCAAAGCTTGTGCCCTTCAGTTTGTTTAATATCTATTTGAGCAATCATTGTCTTTAGTTTGACTTCTCTTGTGATTTGCTATGATTGAAGATGTCAGTAAAATAATTTGGAGATACTTAATATTAAAAATTCAAATAAAACACTAAACTAAACTATGCTTTCAATTTAAATGAATAAAATTTAAATGAATCGTTTAAAATTTTTATCATTTAAGTTATTTATAGTGGCTCTGATATAAAATTTGATCAACTGAAGTTAACAAATTGG